GTACTTGTTCCAGATGGCTCCTTATCCAAGTAATTACGATTTACAGATTGTTGCAGAAGACAGCGGTGAAAATATCAAAAGACTAAGGGTAATCTTTTCAAAATCTAAAGACTTGAGATCCAATGTTTCCCATTTTTTTTCTTTTTTTTGAGGGCTAAAAACCCTTTTTTCAGTCTAATACCATAGACCAAAATTAAAGCGACGGGTTCGCTTTAGGTCTCTGCTAATACCAAACTTACAAGTACTATGTAACCAATCAATCTGCTTTAAGTCTAAGAACTCTTACAAATATAGATAGTTAGATAAAGATAGATTTATAATAATAATTTTTCGTGAACGAAAAGGCAAATTCTCTTTTCAATTGTTTGTGAATCGATAATTTATTTGATAAATGGACTGAAACAATTGGAACAAATGAAGTCATTTATAAAATTTAAGAAGTATTTATGCATTTCATGAACTTCAAACTACTGATTCTCCTCCACAGATTTTATATCACGATTCCAATTGCACTCAATATACTCATTAATATCAGTGAATGTACAGTTTTCAATGGAACACAACAGTATTTTTCTCCCATGCTTTCAGTTGAAGGAATATTGGTTTTGAGTTGTCACAATAAGAGTTGTCAACTGTAGTCACACAATGAATTATTCGGGGATTTTCATGTCTAAAAGAGTTCATTTTAAAGTTGTTGTTGTTTCACCTTTAGACATGGTTGACGAATAGGAGAACAAAGGCCAAGGTTGGACTTGCCGGTAAGAAGTCCACCAAGAGAGAATCAACCATTCATCGTAGTTCACGGCGACCCAAATCAAACGTGGACTGGGGAAAACCCTGCGAAAAACAGTTTGCTTCTATAACTCCGCCAAGATCCAAAGTCTCCGCCGAAAGTCTCGCAAGTGACGCAGCATACAAGAAACAGACTGCTATGTGTATCCCAAGCAGAATACACCCGATTACTTCCGATGTCATGGACGATCTGCTGCTTGAACGTGATTCTGTGCTGATAGAGGACAAGGAGTACCACGAGATGATGTGCGATTCTGATTGGTGAATGTGACGGTTTTGACCAGACAAATGATGATGTGTGATTCTGATTGGTGATTATGAATAGACACAAGTTAATATTTAAATCCGATTAGTGAAGATGTTTTGTAACGAGATGATGTTTGATTCCGATAGGTGCAGATGACTAGATACGAGACAATGAGTGATTTCGATTGGTGATGATTTAATATGATGCGATTCCAGAAAGTGACAATTAGTGAATGTGAAAGAATCCGATATCAAAATCAAAATCAGCTTGGAAAAAATGCAAGAATTGTCCTTAATATTCCTTCTCCTAGGGAAATGTTGACCTAACATGACTTCATTGGCAATCAGTGATTCACTTTATCTATTTTTGATTTGATGTTAAGCATGATTAAATTAAGATTATTTATTGTTCTCTATTTTATGAAGATGTACGAATATATTATGAATAGTTTTTTTCTGGATTATTTTTTCCCCAAATAATATTTTTTCTTGCTCAATGCTCAAAACAATAAAAGTGTAGACAGAAATTCTAGAAAAGACATTCTTGTTTGTTATTTATTCAGTCTCATTTGAATTATGTAATAAATTGTACATTTTGTACGATAAGAAAATGTTAGATTTACGTATATTCGAAAACAGTAGATTGTGAAATTAATACGATGTTGTGAATTCACTAGGTTCACACCTTTATTGTACAGGAAATTAAAGGTACTTGGACACTGATTTGAAGTTAATATTTTCTCAGAAAAACTGTATAATATCACGAATTATATATTTCAATAGCATTTCTCACAAAAATTAATTATAAATCTTATTTCATTTAAAAGTTATTAAAACTTCCAAAATTTTTGGCGGGTTTGATTGACACATCCTTGCACTTTCACAAATTTTAACTTTATTCTTAATCCTTCGGACAAGTGGCAATCTTGTTGTGTGAAAGTGAAAAATATTAAAACTTTAATCCAGAAAAATAATTTTATTCAAAGTAGAAATGTTAGAAAGGCAAAACTCCTTCAAAAGTATCGTCATTCCGAGCTAAGGGTTGTGTGCAAATCGATCACACTCGTGTTATGTACACAGTTATTGTAAACAGGGCAAGAGCTCTGTTATTGTTGACTGTTTATGATTTATTGTCGAAGTCTGCTCACCAAAACTGCACGGACTGAGAATATATTGTGTGTTTGTATTGCTTTCGAACATGTCTACTCTGAATTTTCTGGATTATAGTATTAATGTCTTTCATTTATACACAACAAGATTGCCACTTTTCCTGAGTATTAAGAGTAAAATTAAAATTTGTGAAAGTGCAAGGATGTGTCAATCTTTACATTTCCAATGTCTTTGTCCGACATAAAATTACCAAATGTAAATGTAATTTATTTAAACAATAAAATGCTTTTTTTGTTTGTTATTACTGGAATGAACGGAAGCAGCTTTTGCAGAAAAAATACATAACCCGCGTAAGCGGCTTATGTAATTTTTTTCTGCAATAGCTGCGACCGTTCATTCCAGTAATAACAAACAAAGAAAGACATTTTATTGTTTATATTTATATCTGTTTAAATTATCATTTTAAGTAGGGTTAAAAATATTAATTATTGTGTTAATGATGCAAACGTCTTTGTACGTTTCATTGATGGAACGGCCATTGATCAAGAAATCTGTACAGGTGATATGCCTAATGTAGTTCATGCAGTGATGAATGCAATGGGTTTCTTAGAAATAAAGAAGAAAAATATTCAGTGGATGTAAATATTTCCCTCATGAATGTTTTGCGCGGTTCAAAAAAAAAACACGTGCAGGGCAGGACAACACCTAGAGAGAAGCAGGCTTGGAGCCCGTGGATTGGCGGAATCAAAGCATGTAAATATAAGGAATAACTGTCAGATTTTTCGAATTCATGAAGAAGATCAATGGATTGGCGTGTGTGATAATTTTATGCATAAACGCCTTCGGCGTTTATGCAAATTATCACACAAGCCAATCCATTGATCACTTCATGAATTCGAAAAATAAGACAGTTATTCCTTAAATCAAACCCGCCATAAAATTTGAAGTTTTAATAACTTTTGAATTTAAAATGATTTTTAATAAATTTTTGTGTGATAAGCTATTAAAATATATAAGTCGTAATATTATAGAGAAAAAATTAACTTCAAATCTGTGTCCAAGTACCTTTAAAACCAAAGTGAAAAGTTCTCACTATCAGATCACACATATCTCTAACAATGCAGAGGACATACCGTAAAATAAAAAAAATATCGCAAATTGATAACAAGTAACTTCCAAGGAATCGTTAAATTATATCACAAAATAAGAACGACCTAATACAAAATAAAGCCTTTACTATTCGCTTTAGGGATAAAAAACATAGTACATAGAATTATTTGCGTAAATCATTTTTAACCTTTAAAATCATGCAAAGCAAAATCACTACAGTAATTGTCATCAGCAAATATATATACAATGTAAACAAATAAGCATAAATACTACAGGCATAAAACCATTGATTAAGTTTTCCGCAAAAATTTCCTTAGTAAACATCGATCAAAGATTTATTTTTAAAATCAAAGTACTGAGAAGATCAGAGAACACGACTCAGAATTTACAAAAGTGGTACAAAGACTGTTTTTCATGAAACCAAGATTGTTGAAACAGAAAAATTACAAAAAGTTCAGAAACTGGAAGAATATATAAAACACGAAAAGAATATCTTATGACATTTAATATAAAAATGACAAAAACTGAAATACGATTTAGTTCAACTTTATAATTAACAGCATAAGCAATATTTTAAACATGTATTTTTTGGAGGTTTTATACAACTTCCAAAAGTAAGCAAACATAGATGCAGAAAAGTCAAACAAAGGCTTCAGCGGGGACATGTCACATGACCCCCACATTAGTGTTTTTCTGGTAACAGAACCTCAAATTATAGGATGCCATACAAACAGGGGAACCTGATGAAAAACTTTCGTTATCTTAAAATAATTTTTTTTTATTTTCTACAAAAATATTTGATATTTGAAAATTTCCCTTCGTATTATAAACACCAATAATGATGAATTTTGAAGAATAAACACGAATATATTCACATTAATTTGTGAGTTTAGAGAAATTTTTCTGAGATTTTTCTGTTATCCACTAAAATACAGGATGATTTTTAGAACTTGTAGATTACCTTAATGATAGAAGCAATAACAACAGCAACAAAATCATTGTAAATCTTGTCTAAAACATTATTTCATCAAAGTGTAAAAGAACTTTTATTTTGAGCGTTTCAAACTCAAATACACACAGTTTCTACAATTTATTTCTTCAAGGTTGCCTAAATCATTTTAAAATTATTTTGACTCACTTCATGATAATACAATAAAAATATTTAGTTGTCACTATATAAGCTAACGATATTAACTTATGCTTTGAACACATTTTAATTGTTTATTATTTATACAATAAATTATGTTAAATCATAAGCTAATGCATTAATGCTCTTCAATAATAAAAGTTTCGACGACTTGAAGAAGTACATGTAATAGGGCAAATATATAAAAAATCTTCATCTACTAGTATCAATCAAAAAATAATTATCTGGAATGTTTCTGTTTCACAAAAATATAGTGATTAAAATATTATTAATTTTTGTAACATTTAAAGGCAAAATTTTGATTTTAACAGTATATACCGAAATAGGTGAACGAAATAGACATAAAAAGATTATGAGACATCGGTACAGATTTCAGCATCAGCCTCATACTGTGCAAAAGAAATATACACTTTTCCTAAGAAAAGGCTGTGTTTTGGATGAGTAAATATCAAGATCGGATGAAGAAATGATTTCTACAAAAAAAAACTGTCACACACTGTACTAGTTTAAAAATTGATAAAATGTCTTTCTGTTCCAAAACGCATGTTCCAATACAGTATATGAATATACATGTATATCAACCCCATATCAATTAAAAATAATAAAGATGACTTCATTTCTCATTCTTAGTAGAAGAAGTTGTGCGTGGAAACCCAAAAGAATAAAAGTATTCACATTATTATACATTTCTTGGATGCATTTCCCTTTCGATAGATTGAGCCAGTGAGAGACTTCTTTTCTTTCACGTACTCAATAAGGGATCGTTCAATATTAATCAATTTCCCCCTTCTTGCCAAATCTATTGGCGTTTCATTGAAAATATCCCTTTGTGTGGCATCGGCATTAAACTGCATCAGAATATTGATGATGTTCTGATTGCCAATAAGACAAGCTCTGTGCAATGCAGTTCTATGCTGCTTATCTCCAGTGTCAATAGCAGCATTATGCTGCAGCAGAAGTTCTACAACCTTTTCATGTGAATTGTCCACTGCAAGATGGAGGGCAGTTGAGCCATCATGGATTGACTGAAAACCCAAAACTGGCTTTAAATTCAGTAGAGTACTTAAAATTTCTTCATGGCCTTTCTCTGCAGCTATGTGAAGGGCACTAAAACAATCTTTATCACACATATTTACATCAGCCTTGTTCTGTAAGAGTGTTTCTACAACGTTTAAATCACCCTTGTCGATAGCCCTAAAAAGTGGACTCTGACCATCATTATCACATAAATTAACATCAGCTTTGTTTTCTAAGAGGATTTGTACAATGTTCATATGTCCATTGCAGCAAGCCAGTAGAAGTGGACTCCATCCATCATTATCACATAAATTAACATCGGCTCTGTTTTCTAAGAGGATTTTCACAGTATTTATATGTCCATTGTAGGAAGCCCCTGAAAGTGGACTCCGTCCATCAGTATTACATAAATTAACATCGGCTTCGCTTTCTATA